TATGACCCATTTTGAATTCGAATAAGAAAATCACTGGAATTTGCTTTTTGTCTAAGGTCATTTCTACAATCTAAAAATACATATAAAAGAAACAGCCATAAGTCTTTAGCAAAGACAAACAAACAAAAACCATAAAGCAAGAAATGAGCGTTAAAATGTTATTATTACATAGCCACATTTAAGAATGTATCCGATATTGAATGGAAAATTTCAGCAATGTTAAACTGCAATTACTTTTGCACCGACCTAATAGAACTAGATAGAGACAATCGGCATAGACACAATATACGTAAACTCGGCACCACCATTCAACCAACAGGATCTAATTGACATTTAGAACATTTCACCTGGCAACAGAATACATACTTTCCTCTTTAAGTTTTCTCTTTCTTTCATGAGCAAGAGAGACAGATAGCTAGAGACCAAAATAGCATCTCCAATAAGGTCTTGATACTACACTCCACCCCCAGCTTCGGCAATCCCCCATGATGGGCATGCATGTGCCCCACTTACTCTGGTAGGTCTCCAGGTACAAACCCAGAACCTGTCCATGGAGGTCAGCCTCACAGAGTGCTGCAATTTACCACTGCACCACCAAATGGCCCCCATGTTCTTTTCAAGTGCCCATAGACAGTATATCAATATAGACTGTATCCTAAGCAACCAATTTAAAATAATTAAAATAATACAGAGCATATTCTCCAACCTAAATTGAATCAAACTAGAATCAATAGTATAAAGAAAACAGTGAGGGACCAGCAGTTAGCGTAATGGCTATGTCGCTGGACTCACATGTAGTCCACCGCGGTTCATGTCCTGAACCCGGTGGCTTAAAACTCACGCTGGGCGTGTGTGCTTGCATGCCCAAGATCCCGAGAGGAGTATGGAGGAGAAGGGATCGCGACGTGGCCATCCCCCTTGGGGGGTGATTTCTCGCTTTCTATCTCTCTGTCTCTCTGTCTGCCGAGCGCACAAGCCCTATAGCAAAAAACTCTCCAAAAAGAAAAAAAAAAGAAAACAAGGAAATATCCAAGCATTTGGAAACTATTAGTAAACAATTCACTTTAAATAATCCATGAGTCAAATAGAAAGTTTCCAAGGAAACTTAAAAAAATACATTGAACTAAACAAAAATGAAGACATACATATCAAGATTAGTGGCACAGGGGCCTTGAGGCAATCCCACATGGAAAGGTTCCTTGTTCAAATCCAGAGAACTTGAGTACACCAGGCACATAGGTACCCATGAGCCTGGGTTGCAGCCTCAGATCCTGTTGAGTGCTGTCACTTTCTCACTCTCTCTTGCTCGCTCATGGAGAAAAGAAATAAATAAACATAAAAACAAAGATTTGTGGTACACTGCTAAAGTGGTGCTGTGAGGAAAATTGATAGCCCTAAATTTATAGCATATGTTCAAAGAGAGGCAAAGTCTTCAGTAATCTAAGTGTCTACCTTAGGAACCTAGAAAAAAAAGAACAGATAAACCCAAAGCAAGCAGAAAAAAAGGAATAATAAAACAAAAGGCTGGTTTTTCGAAAGCATTAATAAAATGGACAATTTAGCATCCAGCAAGAATGACAAAGAACATGGGACCAGCAGTTAGCGTAATGGCTATGTCGCTGGACTCCCACGTAGTCGACTGCAGTTCGCGTCCCAGACCCAGTGGCTTAAAACTCAAGCCTGGCATTTGTGCGTGTGTGTCCAAGATCCCAAGAGGAGAATGGAGGAGAAGGGACAGCGGCGTGGCCATCCCCCCTGGGGGGTGATTTCTCGCTTTCTGTCTCTCTGTCTGTCTCTGTCTGTCTGGCGAGTGCACGAGCCCTATAGCAAAAACCTCTCCAAAA